AATCGATTAAATTGTAATTTTATTCGGATTTTATTGATTAGAAAAATAGTTTCATTATAATCTATTTTCAATCGATTATAACCAATTATTAGCGAAGTTATTGAGACAAATTGATTGCGATAATTACATTTCCTTGAAGTTTTTTCAAAATTTGGCCTGTTATAATAATTTTACTTTAAATTCGAAAAAGGTAAAAAAAATATATAAATACGCCTCTGGGTGGCTTACAATTCGGACCAGCTTCCAAAAAAGTTTCGCCTGAATTTCGGGGTTCTCTGCCGGTGTGCTAACAACTTTAATAACTTGAAAGTACTCTGATTAAACTGCTCATTTGATTTATACTTTGATGCTGAAAGCTTAACATAAAATTTTTACGCTTAGAGAATTATCCCGCTCTTCGAAACTGTTCTAAATTGAATTGAGGATGCCATAATATTTCGCTGAGAGGCATATGAACCAATTTGAAATTGAAACGTCTCGACCAAAAAATCAAGACACTATGGCCCGACACATTTCAGCCAATTTAACATTGCAGCAAAAACTTTCAAAACTATCGAAAAAAAAACGGCATTGGCAAGTAGAAAACCCTTGCTCCGCTTTGCTTCTCTGCGCTTACATTCGACATGAGCTAAATAAATTGCGAGAATTAGCGTTTGCCGCTAATCTACATGGTTTCAGGTGTTTCAAACTGAAATTAGCTGAAATTTCTCAAATTTTATTCAGCTGAAACGTCTAGCGTATTTTGTTTGAAAAGTATCAATATAATATTATCCGAAATGTGCTCGTCTAAATTGTGTAAACATGGAAGTTTTGTAATCTAATCCCGCACAGGACTTCCATGGATAATAATCGATTATAATGGAAAAATTTTGTCTAAAATGTTGTCATTATAATCCATTATTGTGGCAAAATTAGACCACATAATTGATAATGTTCTACGATTCGAAAAATAAATATCCATTATAATTCAAAATATTCCAATAAAATCCATTATTTTTGGCACTGAAATTGATTTTTTTGCCAATATAATCGATTATTTTTGCAATAAAAAATTTTTTAAACTAAATTCGATTTTTTTGCAGAATGTTGCTAGGTTTGCAGGAAAATTGCAAAGAGTATGCCATGTTATTTATTAAATGCCATGTCTAATGTCACCCCCTCAAGTAAATTTTAACTCCTCGCAATTAAGGAGAGGGAGGTGTCAAAACATAAACCCACTCCCCCAAAGTCTATCAATAAATAGGGGGCGGGGGGGGGGGGTACGGGGCCAATGGCACTCGTGCTTAACTGGCAGGGGGAGGGGGGGGTGTTGTAAAGTAAACTGAGGGGGTAGTTAAAGTAAATGGAGAGGGGTAAAGTAAACTGGAGAGGGTGGTAGGGTAACGGGATGGGGGTAAACTAAACTGAGGGGGTTGGAACGTGGGGGGGGGAGTTAAAGTTAACGGAAGGAACACCGTTCAAACCACAATATAAATTATATTCAAAAAAATATTAATAAATTTTAACGTGAAATGTAATATTTTATGAAACGTTTTACGTAGCAACTGCACTAAACAGGAAAAGAGATAATTTTGATAAAAGTTGTAACTTTCACAAATAACCTCTCGAAAAAATCCATTATAATCTATTATAGTTGATTATAACGGATTATATTGGCATAAAAAGTATGAGGATTTTAAACCATTTTAATGGATTATAATCATTTATAAGGGATTATTTTAACCTAAAAATGATAAGGATTATAATCGACTTTAAATGTATCATAATCGATTATAATGGATTATTTTAACCTAAAAATGATAAGGATTATAATCGACTTTAAATGTATCATAATCGATTATTTTTTAATTTTATTCGGATTTAATTGATTTGAAAAATAGTTTCATTATAATCCATTTTCAATCGGTTATAACCAATTATTAGCGAAATTTATTGATACAGACCACAAAAATTCTATATAATCGATTATTATCCATGGAAATCCGGTGCGGGATTGCTCATATTCCATACACGGTTTAAATTTTGAGCGTAATTGTCTAAAAAAAACCGCTCAAACCGCTCAAGTCTTGCGCGGTTTTTGAGCGTTTTTTTTTTAGATAAACC